GTTATTGATTCGTTCACTTCAACAACACGGATTTCTCCACGAAATGATGTCCCAACTGCAAGAGAAACAATCAATCTCGAACATAATATCTATAAAATATAATCATAATTTTAATAATTGATAAACATTATAATAATCATAATAAATAATAACCAATAAATTATAGCAACATAACATTTTAATAATAATAATCCTAATAATAGTCCTAATGACAAATATGATCGTAATGCAATTATTATAAATATAATAGTAATAATTATAATTATTATATTATTATGAGGATATTGATAATAACATATAAAATAATAATAATAATAATATTATTAATAGTAATAATAATAATAGTAATAATAACAATAATAATAATAATAATAGTAATAATAACAACAACAACAACAACAACAACAATAATAATAATAATAATAATAATAAATGCAGTCATATTGATCTGTGGCTTACCAACGCATGCGTCATCGACTAAAACAAATCCTACATCGCAGTCGCAACTGAAGCTACCTTCGGTATTTACACAAACCTTATTGGCCCCACAAGGGTTCTCTGAGCATTCATCCACATCTATAAGTTAATTGAGAGCTTAAAGATGTAATATGTTTAATTATCCATTCTGACCCTATAGGCCAGGAATTGATGGAAATAGCAAACACAAACCCATTTTTAATATAATATTTGAGGTATATTCATTCAATCTTGACAGTAACAAGCATACATTGCAGCACCTAGCTGAATTGCGTATAAATTTACAAAAGCTAGAATTTCATTTATTTTATACATTATATAAAAAATACCAGCATAAAACTAAAAATGTAAATCGGTCAAAAGCATTACATACATCAAAATGCGAGAAATTAAAACAGTTGAATGAGCATTTAATTAATAAAGTAATAAAAGTAAAAACAGGACAATAATCATATTAGGTCTGTTTTTCACCATTTTATAACTCTTTATTTTTCTTTTAATATGTTTTAAATGTAGGCCTAGCGTACGTGTATATGCATTTCATCATATTTATGGCATGTAAAATAATTGATTTAACATACCCAGACAAGCATCGTTTTCGCGTACATATCCGTCATTGCAGTCACATGTGTAGCCTCCTTCCCTATTTTGACATATTCCCTTTGATCCACATATATTAGAAGTTTCCATGCACTCGTCATTGTCTTAGAATAAAAACAAGAAAATAAAAGGTGAAAATCACATCGCACCTTACAAAATATCAGTGATTAACAATTGTTATTACAGTACAGTAACAGCGTAATACATTACTATCTGTTTGGAGCTAAAAATCACGAAAATACTTAGCATCTTATGTAGCATTTATACTTCTCATATGCATTTCCATGGACAACTATTTTAATGCCTGGTTCTCACGAGAGCCCTAGTATCCGGATCGGGAGCTAACCGTTAGCAGTATCCGGATACGCTAACGGTTAGCAAGTGATATCGGTTAGCAAGTTGAGGGCGTTTCTATCATCAACCAATCACACGTATGCGTTTACAATTTCCAGTTTCTTATTGGCCAGTGATTCGATCATCATATTGTTGGTATCCGGATCGGGATTTTCTCGATATTGACGCAGCTAACGGTTAACAGGATCCGGATCCTGCTAACCGTTAGCAGCCGTGTGAGAACATAGCCACAATAACCCAGCATATAGATAAAATCATTCGTTCAGGACCCCACAATTAAACTTGCTTACAGTGGGGCACCTTCTTTACAATATGTATTTTCATTTCAGCTTTATTGCATTTATACTGAGTTCTGTTGTGAAATAATATATTACTTGACTAACTTGACATGAACTGTGACTGCAATGTAACGGTAGGCATATGTTTGTTGCGCAAGCTTCCATTACTATTAATTGGCATAAAGGCGACGTGGCAAAACATGATATTCAAACAGTGTTGACGGTTGTGAATACCACTAATCTTTGCGAAACTATCAAAAAACAGCAGAAAAGTCAACTGAACTTTGATATCTATCTAATTATTAGCTCACCAACACAGACGCCGCTGTTGGAAACGTAGCCAGACTCACACACGCACTCGTAGGAACCGTCTCTATTTATACACACTTCGTTAGTTTCACATGGATTTGTTGAACATTCATCAACATCTTCAACAGAAAAAGAGAGCATGGGTTTGTAGACCTCGTTTAAATTAGTGATAGGCCTAATCTAAATATTAAATAAGTGAGTAACATGTCTTTCAACTATCACCTTCCCTTATGTCTTATGATTGTTATTACTACTTTATTATTAAATTTTGTTTACACTCATTATAATTACTCACATAATAATAATATTAATATTAATATAATATAAAAATAAATAATATAAAAAAAATATAACAACAATAACAATAACATTAATAATAATACCAACAATAGTAATAATAATAATGAATTAATAATAATAAAATAAAAATAATAAACAAAATATAATAATAATAATAATAATAATAATAATAATAATAATAATAATGCTATATTGATGTTGATGCTCACAACAATGTGTGCATGACCATCCAAAATTTAAATTAGCTTACCTCTACAAACATTGCTAACGCGTTCATACCCGTTTTTGCAATTGCACATGTAACTGCCTTCTGAGTTGGAACAATTTTCTAAGTCGTTGCATGGATCATCAAGTAAGCATTCGTTTCTATCTAAAAGTTAGATGGTATAATTCTTATACATTATTGCTGTGTACACGACCATGGATTTAAAACTAGAAATAATGCTTTAAGAAAATGTATAAAAGAAAGTATAAGGAAAGATGTATAACCACTGAATTATTCGAAATGAATGTTAAAAATTGTATCAGTCAGCCGCTTTGGATTGACCCCATTTTATTTTATTTCCTGTTGCATGCGCACCATGTGTGTTTTAAATATTCTTATGTATGTTAATCTTATATAAACTTAAGATGTTTTAACATCGAAAAATGTATTTTATTGGAAAGAAATGTAGGTGAAGCCACTACAAAAGTGCAAAAGAGAAATAATGCTTTCACGATCATAGTTCCCCATTCTTTCATTAAATTCTTTTAGTTAATAAACTCAATCGAAACGTCGAGACATTCTCCACAATCCGAGGAAAATCGTTTTAAATAATTATTAGTTTAGCTTTTGTCAACTCTACAACTGTGTCATTTTTCGTAAAATTCCTGGATATTGAAAGAAATGGATCTATCAAAATATAGCTTACCGACGCATGCGCCGTCAGAAACTTCATATCCTTCAGTTTGGCACTGACAAGAGTAACTACCTTCCGTGTTGCTACATATTGCATCTGCTGGACACACGTCTCTTGAACATTCATTGTCATCTGATTGCAAACATGAATTAAATTTTATAAAAATAGTCAGGAATGGATATAAGATGATACTAGATATTTCTGGGAAGTCCTATTTTCGAAGGTAGACATCACTGTTTATAATAGCGTATCTTTAAAGGAACATAATAGGGCTATTCAACATCTATATAATGGAGAACAATAAATAAATTTGCTATAATATAATATAGTATATTATAATAATGGATTGAGGAGAGGGAACTTTTTGTTTCTATCACCAGCAAAATGCTGCTAAGAAATTAGGCCTTACATATAGAGTATATGGTACTGTATTTTCTGAATAATAATTACTAAATAAAGTCCACTATCTTTTATTTAGAAACACACAACTAAATCATGTTTTGTGACCTTACGGTCATATTGTACTCATGCTATTTATTAGCATTCAATACACTACACTGATATGTATATTATGATTATTAAACATTCTTAAAATTTATGGACATAAATTACTTAGATTGATTTTTTTTGTTTCATTGTACTTCTCTTTTAGCTTTGTTATATTGCTTATATGTTTGTTTAATTTGAGCTCGGATGTATCTGTTCTGTTACTTACTCAGGGAATTGCATTTACGTAAAGTGCTTTAGAAGAGCGATTTCGTATAGTTATGTTTACTTTTGCTAGTAGGCCTACGCTGAGAGAATAGAAAAGCTAAATACATTCTTATAAATTCTTACCGACGCATTGACCTTCCTGCTTGACAAATCCGCCAGGGCAAACGCATTCATAGCTGCCGTCAGTGTTTCTGCATTCAAATCTAGGTGAACAATCATTCGCCCTGGCACACTCGTCATCGTCTAAAAAAGACAATTTATTTGCTTGAGGATCTAAATACATTTGCTTTACAATCATTGAAGCTACTCTATTCGTAACGATTTAAGGTTTATGATGTATTGACGAAAAACAAATCGTCAAATACACCACACACTGTCAACTGCAGACAAGAACAAATAATGTGAACACTATCGGAACATTTAAAAAACACTAAACACCCATTTCAAACAGCTCTTAAATAACATTAATAAATATTGTCATTTCAAAACTGGGTTTACACATGACATTAAATATCAATTAACATTAACTTTGATCAATTCGAAATAATATATCTCTTAAATAGTTAATTTAAAATTTACAATAAAAAAAAACTACTGCAATTAATTAAAAAAATATTTTACATATAATCAAAATGTCTATAGATGTATGGTCCAAACTTTGATTAGGGTAGAACAATTTGGTGCCGGGTTAACATGCAAACATTAGGCTTAACTATGTTTTTCTCTAAAAGTAAAAATTTCAAATTCCTTTGTTTTGCCTAACGGGCGCAGGTTATCATGGTCAACAATACAATTATTGAGAATACATGTGGTTCTGGAGATGGGAAGAATTACGAAGTTACACAATTTTCGCAGGTCTTTCTAATTCATAGTGCCATTCACCATGGAACAGAAACTAAAAGACAAGTTTTATTAACTGGCATTTATTTTCAATTGTATCTTACCAACGCATTCCGAATTCACTGAGATATATCCATTGCTACATTGGCAGTAGTAGCTCCCAGGAACATTTGTGCCTGTCTCTTATATATATAATTTATTTAGAACCTTATACAATTAAATAACCTCAATGTGCTTTAAATAAAAGTGCAAGTTTCATAATTTGGTATTTATGACTCTATTTCTTTATTGAATATTTATATTGCTCAGCGTTGATAATACCTCCATGGTTTTACCAACACAAACGTCGTCCTTCAAAATAAATCCTAACTACCTACCATCCTCTTAGCTCCATATTTTTTTCCTTTGTCATTATTCAACTGATTTTTTTACTTTTAAGAAAGAGTTAAGTCCCTCAATTATCGTAAAAGTACATAATTTAAAGCTTCACACAGTTGTGTGAAATACATTATTATTTAGAACAAATTAGAATCAGGGGGAGATAGTTATGCAGATTTGCCTGTTAGGACATACCTCGATTATTACCTTTTAAAATAGAAAGAATTTTCACGCGAGGAGTTGTAAGACATAATGATAACCCTAAGATATGTCCAGAACCACCAACGCTTTTATTCACACTAAATAAACACTTACAATTGTTGTTATATAGGCTTGTTTGCAATTTATCTTCTCCATTTAATTATACTAAAAATTCACACCGAAGGTTACTGTTATGTATGTCATACAATTTGCAGAATGATTATGTATATTCTTTTATCATCATTTATAATCATATGTTTATGGCTTACTTCAATAGGACTATCGTTATTTAATACTCGTCTTACCAACACACACGTTGTCAACCAAAATATACCCAGGGTCTGTGCAGTTGCAAGTGTAACTTCCAATTGTGTTTTCACATATTGAACCTTGGGGACACTGGTTCACCACACATTCGTCATCATCTGCAATTATATATATATATAACGTATTGGTTTAAATTGTCTAGCAAACATATACGCCTTTATAGATTAGACATACAGTCACAAGCAGCTAAGTCTTTGCATTGGCCTATAACCACACATATTTTAACGCAAGGTCTCCACTCCCAAATAAGATAAGATTTAAATAAGAAATACAATTTAACAAATCTCCCCAAGTCTCCCCACCAACTAAGACGTTCCCGTCAAAGGCTTACCTATTGATTTGTTAACTATCTGCTGTCTTGTACAATGAATGAGATCCACCCGCCTTTTCAATATTTCAAGATATATTTCAGTTATTCTTAAAGTAACGTGACTATAGCAAAGCTTGTATAATAAGGCCTAATACATTATAAAACTAGGTTATTTCGTGGATCTGAAACATAAATAAATAAGATATTTTCATTTTTTAAAAATAAATGTTTACTTACCCACGCACCTATTACCGGTACTATTCAATGAGAATCCATCGAAACATGTTTGACAATTGTACTGCTCGTTGCCTAAATACACACACTCCTGGAAATTTCTTTCTCCACAGTCATCTGTACCCGCAAAGCAAGGGTCGGTTACTGAAATGTGCAAAGGAGTTTTTGATTATAGTCGATGAACACTATTACTTAAGACTATGTTACAGTTTATATTTGTTATACAATTTGTTTATTTAAGCCGGGCTCTCACTTTGCCGATGGTCGTCGACCGATTTGGGAACGCAACAAGACGCGCAAAACTGATATTTTATTGAAATCAGCAGACGACGTAGCACGGCGTAAAACGATCACATACAGATTGGAGATGGAATCGGCGGCCGACGGCCATAAGACCGTGGTACGACTCAGTGCGTTCCCGGCTTTGCTCATCAAGTTATGTTCTACAATAACAACAACTACGCAAAAATTACTCTAGTTCAAGATGTATTCATTCAACAACTCCATAATTATTTAGACCATCAATAGAATTAGAAAAGTATATCGTGTCTATACACTTTCCTTTTATTCCCCGCTAATATTCACCTAGTTCCATAACTTCGACGTTGCTTCTAAGTAATTGACTATCAGGTTCAAGAAAATCCATATCACGGCCTGCCAGTCCATCTAAGAACGCTTGCAGCACCTGTTCATCCGTCACGTTTAACTCTTTATCGAAATTGATGATAAACGATACACCTAGCCCACCAGTTACATTATAAAATCCAGTAGTTTCAGCACCAAAATATTGATCTGCGAAAATGCTCATTCGAAAAAGTGCGTCCATCTATACAAAAGTTAAATTTAATAGGTTATGACAGTTTAGGCCTATATCAAATATTACAGAACACTGCTTATTATAACACTTTCCCCTGTCGGCATTATTACATAAAGTATTTTATTCTAGTAAAAATACGTAAAAGTAGGCCTGTACAAAGAATAGAATAATTAACTTACGTCTTCAGCGAGTGTCACTGCGATTTCATCGAAATTGAACAGATTATATAACATTTCTACACTCCATCCCTTGATGTACATGAACTCAACCATTAGGCTTTTCGATACTGCCTCTATTGAAAAATATTATTCAAAATATATTGTAAATTCTTTAAGAAAATGATTTTCCGAATTAAATAAATAGCAATTGTTTACAGAACAATATTATGTAAGTATGTTGCGTATATTATAGCAATTGGATTTCTATCAAAACAACGCATAAGAAAATCAGTGAATAATTTTCAAGTTTTATTTTAATAAACGTTTCCTGAACGTCAACTACTCTTAACAACTGACAGGAAGACGCGCTTGTCCCGAAAACACAAGAGTATCGAAAACGCACGTGTACTACTTTAATACTGTCGTTTTGTAGAACCTTAGCAACATAATGGTATCACATTCTAATTACACTTAAAAAAAATACGTTAAAATGAGGTTCAATTTTAACACAACATGTTGTTTGAAACGCTTCATAAGGTTCCAACTGATTAGAAAATTGTTCTTTATACTACTTTTATAGCCAGCCCCATAGTTTTGTGGTTTTTCGTGAACCACTAACGTAAATGAGATATATAACAATATAAATTAGTTTGTAAATAAGTAGCAAATTGCATTATTTAAAATAGTGATGAGATGATAAGTTAAAATGTGTGTTTGATGAAGTTTCTGACTTACCTATGCATTGACCACTGATGTTAAAATATGAAATTTGACATGTACAATAATATGAGCCCTGAGTGTTTACACACCGCTCATTTCCATCACTATCACATGGATAGTCAATTGCTTGACATTCATCGATATCTGTTATTAATTTGGTAAATAAAATGTAAAAATATAATTATTGTACTTCGTAAGATCAAAACAAAAATATTTTAAAAGTACAGTTACAATTATCGAAAATATGTATAACTCAACACCTGACAGTCATTGGCCTTTTTTCTGTGATATTCTAGTAGTGACTTGGTTCAGATAAATAATAAGTGAAAGCTAATAAAACGTAAACGTAAGGAAACAGGCAGACAAAAGAAAAAATTGCTTATGAAAAAACAGTCTTTTCTAATCAGCAGTGGAATTCCTATAGGTGATATCAACTGTTTTGATATTATTTGGTATCCGATTGTAAATAATAAGATAATGTGATTAAACTAACTGTATAAAAGCTGTCAAAAGTTTCATAGCATTTTGCACTTAAATATTGTTTTCTCATGGTTTGTATATTGTAACACAAGTAGTGTAAGACTATTTTTGTATTGGCTGTTCTATTGCGTCAGAAATAAATAGTATGATCCTTCATCATCATTATTTTCACCATCGTCATTATTTACTTACCATCGCATTCGTAACCATTTCCCGTAAATCCAGATTTACATGCGCAACTGTATGATCCGATTGTATTCGAACATTGAGCAGATTCATGACAATCGTCAATAAGGAATGCACATTCATCGTAATCTTAATAAAAAAAATTAAAAATGAAAATTAATTAGAAATATGGAATATAGTTATTGCAATCTAAAATTGACCAAACAATACAGTAATACGGGGGACGTTTGGGGGTGTAATCAAACTATCAGTTCTGTTGATGTCTTTTATATAGGGCCTATATATATATATATATATATATATATATATATATATATATATAGGGCCTATACATATATATATATGTGTGTGTGTGTG